GGGCTGGTGGCTGTTGGCTAGGTGCTGGGAATGGGAGGGGAGCGAGAGGTGATTGGGCTTCAGGTGGCGCCGGCGGGAACTGAGGACCCCCCCCCCCCACAAGAGAAGCCGGAAGTTTGCCATCTTACTGGTGGGGGCCCTTCAGGGGGAGTCTAGTAAACATAATGTTCCTCATGTAATTATAGATTAATGATACCAAAATAGTAAATAGATAGATAGATAAATAAATAAATAATAATAAACCACCAAACACAATTTGTAATGTGAGGTCCAACTCTCAGCCTAAATGAACATAAATTATCATTAGCAGGAATAAAATCCTGATATCCATACACAAAGATGGTCCCTTCCATCCTCAAAAAAAGGAAAGTAATTCAAAAACTTATTCTTCTGGATTTTATATTCTCGTGTTGGTTCCCTAAGGAGGTATTTGTGAGTGATTGAATTAAGCTTGCTTTCTAGCTGCATTAAAGGATATGGAAAAATATTCATTATTAGGGAAACAGGATATACAAACATGAAATTAGCTCAAGACTTCTCATCCTATAAAGTATCCCAACACTATATGAATAGCATCTACTTAATAAATAGTAAATAAAGTGTCTGGTTCCATAACAGATGAATCCCAGCTGACCATCGTTAAATCTTGCCTGGCTCACGTCCAAGTTGTGCTCTGCTGGCCACCACCATCATTCTCTGGGGAGATGGAAGCCAGGGGGTGGGCGGAAGGGGGACGCTTCCATCCTGGCTTCACACCCTCTCCTCTTAGTGACTTGCTTTGTGAGTCATTTGATTTGGAGGAAAAGACCCCTACTCTATTTTAATATTCAAGGTCATGATGGGTAAAATGTAAACTGGCAAGTTTCCCTTTTTATCATGGGTCATGATATAACAGCAGTACTTACTTTATGAAATAAACGTCCAATTACCATAAAACAAATGGAAGATCATTGTATTTTACTTGGCTTTTGTATGCAGTCTAGGAAATGTGTTTCCTTACAAACTGGCATGCTGTAGTACTTGGTATTTGTAGTTAATCCAGGGAATCCAACCTTATCTTTCCCTCACTACAAACCACATGGGCTCCATCCTAGCAGCGATAACTTAGTCCTTCTCATCTCCGATCCTTTTCAAAAACTATTCTCTCTGCTTAAAATGACTCTTGGTTTCCCCTGCCAATCCATGAACCTTTTTCAAGACATTTCAGAAATTTGTCCTTCTTACATATGCCTTTCCTATCACTTCCTTTAATCACCTATAATTGTGCATATGTGAAGGTTGAGTCTGTGAGCATAACTGACGAGATAACCCGAGTTACAAATGAGTCATTTACCTTGGCCTGAGGAAAGATTGCTAGTCTCAGTTCCTTACTACAGGTTTGTTTATTGGGGGAGGGGTGCTGGCTTTGGAAGGGCAGAACTGGTCAGGAGTGTTCCAGGGACTGCAGTCCCATGCTAGTGATCAGCCTTGGAAGAGAGTTTGTATTAGATGCCAGTATTGCCCTTGTTTTTTAGTTGGTTTTTGTAATTGTATGTTTATTTCATTTGCATTTGCCTGGCTCCACCATTAAATCCTATCTATTTCTTCCATTTATAGGGAGTTTTGAAACCAAGAGTGTTAGAGTGTTTCTATGTTTCTATGTGAAGGAGTTAGAATACAGTGGTTGATGAAGCCACAGTCACAGACTCAATTGCTTTCAGAGCCCATGCAAGCAACACGAATGTGTAAAGAGACACAGTGCCAGGCAGAGAGCAGAGGCTACATAAACTGGAGGGAAACTGTGCAGGCTTGGGGCATTAAACAGAGAAATTCACAGCACCTCTGCCAGTCTAATTTGGCTGTCCAGTCACCAACGCCTGATACCCTTATTTCTTGCTTTGAGCCTGTGAGATACCGTTGATGGTGACAAGGTGATTAGCTACGTCTTGTTGATGAAGGAATTGAAACAGAGAACAATAACTTTACAAAAGTCACACAGGAAAATCAGCTTCACAAATGTCTTGTTCAAAGAGAACACGCTGTAAAAATGTAAAATATAAAGCATGACCTAAAACTTTGAAGTCAATGAGCAAGACTCATTCTCTTAAAGAAAACACTTTATAATACTGGGAAGCAGTTTTTCAGTATATTCAGTAAGTTTTAAATGCATATTAAATCAGTCAGTCCCTCTACTGTGAATTCGGTACATACATACACACACACACACACACACGAAGACACACATGAATACATTTATTTTTAGGATTAAACCACACTTACCTTCAGAAATTTGGCGTATTGTCTTCTTGAGAGATTTTGACTAATATGTGACCTGCTTTGATTTATAGAAAATCTCATTTTAAGGGAAGAATCGTTCCTTTCCTAGATACCCTAGTTTTTTTTCTTCAAAATTTTATTTACTGTTATTACTCTTAACTTTGAGGGGAAATGAAGGTTGGGTAACAGACCCTAGAATCTACTATTTAATGTGAATGCTTTGAAATTTTTATTCATTGCTCCTACAAGCTGAGAAGTAGGCAGAGCATATTCTGCAAATCAAGCCTGTTAAAATTCCACTGCAAAGCATGAACTTGACTGACTGCCAGTGGAGCTGTCAGCTCACACAGGCATCACTGTGGAAGGGCCGTGTCATCTGTCAGTGTCGGTTCCAGCTCACCGTTCCACTGGGCTGGAAAGAGGGAATGCACTGTTGCCTCCCCATTGATAACACGCTGCCAGAAGTATGTTACTTTCTCATCCGGCTTCTTGTAGCTGTCAAAAATGGAATCCATTACTTAGTTTATTCTTGTGGATTTTAGCCATTCTAAAGACATATAAATTTCAAAATAGGGCAAATAAAAATCCCAACCCAAACCAGGAGGCCAGGAAGGGCTCAAAATCCTAAGTGGCAGCTGTTGCTGATGGTAATGAGAACTGGCCAGCTAAACTCTGCCTTAAGTGAATGTAATGGTGTGGCTAAGTTTCCCATCCCTTTTAATGAGTAGCAAGCTTCCTGAGACAGCAGAGGGAATAGAGAGTTTGAGAAAAAGGCGGGAGCTGCCCTGAACATGGCTCTAACTAGTCAGGCACTTTGACATGACCTAGGGAGGCTGGTGGCTGCTGCTACTGTATGATTACCTTTTGGTATGTCATTCCTCTCCCGCGGCTTTCGAAAAAAAGTGTGATGGGTTTTACTCCTGTCATTTTGGTGGTCCTGCAAAGCCCAGGCAATTCTGTAAATTCCACACGCTGTATGTAGACAGGGTGTAATTCACTCCAGCATTCCAATATACAGTATACCTGTGGACTGAAGGAATATTCCATAAGAAACTTGGAACAAATATACTGAACAATCTTCATGTCTAATACAGTATATTGCACAAATAAGTATGCTTCAACTTGACCCAGTATTTTCCCTTCTCCATCTTTTCAAGTCAGTGATAAAGGATCACACTGACAGTACATTATTTTATACTTTTCAACTCAGTGAGCATTTATTAAGTGACTACTCTGTGTAACTCACTGTGCTAGGCACTCTAGGAAATACAAAAATGATTAAAATACAGCTGTAGTCCACCAGAATCTCATGCTTTAGGAGAAGAAGCAGACATACACAAAGAGCCCTAATTCAAGACAGCCTATGGGAAGTACTAAACAGTGAGCCGTGGGACAGAGGGGAGGTGAGCTCCACCTCAGAGACGGATTCCTGGAGAGCGAATCATGAAATATGCATGTCTGAGCAGGAATTTCAAGGAGGGGTTGGTCTTCGCATGGCTGTAACATCCTCAGTCTTAAAGGATAGGCCACAGATGGAAGAAAAAGCATGCACTAAAGGGGTGACTCTGCAAATGGCCAGGAAGGTGTAACTTGCCCAGCAGAAGACAGGCAGGGAAGAACTTTGCATACAGAGGTGCCGGCCTGGCCCGCCCGAGGGCTGACCCAGTGCAGGGCAGGGGGATTCCAGGCCAGAGACATACCTCCAGGCACCATGCATTTTGCCAAAGGGGCTCCTTTTGTGAAAAATGTCAGGGGAAGTAGTGTATGAGGATTACACCTAATGATCTGTAGCATAAATAAATGCTAAATATAAAAAAAGTATCTTTCTGAGATTGTCTTCTCTTCATATTTGCTAATGTCCAGCTGGGTGTAGTATGGAAAAGCATGTCACTACAACACATGAAAAATAAAATAAAAAAGGTTCTTTCTCCTAAATTACTTTTTAAGGTCCTCAGAACATTCAGGGAATTTCTGATTCTTTTCCGGCAAAGAGCACCATCGTTCAGGATTACTTTAAGGCCAAGAGGGAAGGGACCCTGTTTTGCTCATTGCTGAATCCCTACAGCTCAAAGAGTACATGGCTCATTATAGCAACTTCATTAGCATTTGCTGAACGCACTTTCATAAAACTGATCAACTATATAGCTCAGCCACATCCCAGAAGTGGAGCAAACACCGCTCTGCTCAGCCTCATGCAGCCCCAGCACAGGCGGGATAACTTTAGTTTGAGATGAAACATTCCTAGAAAGACAAGGGCTTTTTACTGGCAGTTTAAAATATGGACATTTGTGAATTAACTAAGTGTCTTGCCAGTGGGTTTCAGCCCAGGGCAAGTTCACTGTAAATTCAATGTGACAAAAGAAATTGACAGCAAAACATTCTTTGGGATGAAAGGGTTTATTACTCCACTTGTTCTCCTGGCAGTAGGTCAAGCACTAGCATCTCTGCCTCTCCCCAGAGCACTGGGCTGAGCTCTCTATATAGCACAATAATAGCTCATAGCCTAAAGGTGTGGAAGCGGTAGCCTAGCAACAGGCTGGTTACATCATCAGGTGGTTTAAGTTCAGTGAGGGTCCTAGCTGTGGGAACCCCAACTTTCCCACACTCCACCCCTCCAGGATTCTTGCCTTACAATCTACACTCTTTCAGTCTTCCACAATGGTCCCTGCATGAGAAAGCTGGAGCACTGTAACCAGATTCCACAATAGCAACAGAGGATAACAGCAACTTAAGAGATCATAAAAATTAAGATACAGCAAGATTTTGATACAGGTAACAAAAATTATAATAATCCTCAAGCCAGAGGAAATTTCCAATCCTCAAAGACTTCAGGGGTGATAAGACATATGTTTTAATGACACCAACATAGGGAAATCTTGTCCATCAGGTAGATGCATGCAAGAGAGTGGGCCTGTGATAGGACTGTAGCAGGAAGGGGGTCCCTTCCAGGTCTAGTATACTGTACTTTTACTCGTTTCCCTGTGGGGGTTACTGAAGGGTCTATATATAGTGCTACTGGAGGTGCATGCACTGGCCATAATGATAAAATAAAACTCCCCGGTAAGATGCTCTTACCTTCTGGCCATTCAGGATATACTACTGTGACTTTTGGTGGCCACTCTGCTGTTATTCCAGGAATACACAGGAGGCCAGCTTCCAGGCCTTGTCCCCAAGGTGCCAGGAGAGCCAGCCATCGTTGGTACATGTGTCGAAAGGTCCAAGGCCACGTCCATTCAATGGAGTTCCCGGGGTTCAGTGCAGTTGGTGCTGGCAGCAAGATGTTATTCTGGGGGCCAAACCTCGGATTCAGTGATTCTTCCTTGGTTTGTACTTGCAGTTGTATAGGGGAGGCAGCCATATGTGTTAACATGTCTATGGGGATCAGGGCTCCTTTTTGGGGTCTCTCATTCAAACTCCAAACCACAGTCCATAAGTGGACTGAACATCCCCGCAGACCATTGGTATCTGACTTTAGTCCAGAATTTAACAAGCCACTGTGCCTCTCTATCATGCCTGCTGTGGTAAGACTGTATGGCACATGAAACTTCCACTTGATTCCCACCTGTCACATCTATTCTTTACTTTTATTTTTATTTTTTTATTTTGGCATCATTAATGTACAATTACATGAGGAACATCATGTTCACTAGACTCCCCCCTTCACCAAGTCCCCTCCACAGACCCCATTACAGTCACTGTCCATCAGCGTAGTAAGATGCTATAGAATCACTACTTGTCTTCTCTGTGTTGTACATCCCTCCCTATTCCTCCCTGCACATTATACATGCTAATCGTAAGGCCCCCTTTCTTCTTCCCCTGCTTATGCCTTCCCACCCATCCTCCCGAGTCCCTTTCCTTTTGGTAACTGTTAGTCCATTCTTGGGTTCTATGATTCTGCTGCTGTTTTGTTCCTTCAGTTTTTCCTTTATTCTTATGCTCCACAGATGAGTGAAATTATTTGATACTTGTCTTTCTCCACCTGGCTTATTTCACTGAGCATAGTTCCATTCATGTTGTTGCAAATGGTAGGACTTGTTTTCTTCTTATGGCTGAATAATATTCCATTGTATATATGTACCACATCTTCTTTATCCATTCATCTACTGATGGACACTTAGGTTGCTTCCATTTCTTGGCTATTGTAAATAGTGCTTCGATAAACATAGGGGTGCATCTGTCTTTTTCAAACTGGGCTACTGCATTCTTAGGGTATATTCCTAGAAGTGGAATTCCTGTGTCAAATGGTATTTCTATTTTGAGCTTTTTGAGGAACCTCCATACTGTTTTCCACAATGGTTGAACTAATTTATATTCCCACCAGCAGTGTAGGAGGGTTCCCCTTTCTCCACATCCTTGCCAACATTTGTTGTTGTTTGTCTTTTGGATGGTGGTGATCCTTACTGGTGTGAGGTGATATCTCATTGTGGTTTTAATTTGCATTTCTCTGACGACTAGTGATGTGGAGCATCTTTTCAAGTGTCTGTTGGCCATCTGAATTTCTACTTTGGAGAACTGTTCAGCTCCTCTGCCCATTTTTAAATTGGTTATTTGCTTTTTGTTTGTTGAGGTGTGTGAGCTCTTTATATATCTTGTATGTCAGCCCCTTATTGGATCTGTCATTTATGAATATATTCTCCCATACTGTAGGATGCCTCTTTGTTCTGTTGATGGTGTCCTTTGCTGTACAGAAGCTTTTCAGCTTGATATAGTCCCACTTGTTCATTTTTGCTTTTGTTTCCCTTGCCCAGGGAGATATGTTCATGAAGAAGTCACTCATGTTTATGTCCAAGAGATTTTTGCCTGTTTTTTTCTAAGAGGTTTATGGTTTCATGACTTACATTCAAGTCTTTGATCCATTTTGAATTTACTTTTGTGTATGGAGTTAGACAATGATCCAGTTTCATTCTCTTACATGTAGCTGTCCAGTTTTGTCAACATCAACTGTTGAAGAGGCTGTCATTTCCCCATTGTATGTCCATGGCTCCTTTATCATATGTTAATTGACCATATATGTTTGGGTTAATGTCTGGAGTCTCTATTCTGTTCCACTGGTCTGTGGCTCTGTTCTTGTGCCAGTACCAAATTGTCTTGATTACTGTGGCTTTGTAGTAGAGCTTGAAGTTGGGGAGTGAGATCCCCCCCACTTTATTCTTCCTTGTCAGGATTGCTTTAGCTATTCGGGGTCTTTGGTGTTTCCATTTGAATTTTTGAACTATTTGTTCCAGTTCATTGAAGAATGCTGTTGGTATTTTGATAGGGATTGCATCGAATCTGTATATTGCTTTGGGCAGGATGGCAATTTGCACGATATTAATTCTTCCTAGCCAGGAGCATGGGATGAGTTTCCATTTGTTAGTGTCCTCTTTAATTTCTCTTAAGAGTATCTTATAGTTTTCAGGGTATAGGTCTTTCACTTCCTTGGTTAGGTTTATTCCTAGGTGTTTTATTATTTTTAATGCTATTGTAAATGGAATTGTCTTCCTGATTTCTCTATTAGTTTATTGTTAGTGTATAGGAAAGCCACAGATTTCTGTGTTAATTTTGTATCCTGCAACTTTGCTGAATTCCAATATTAGCTCTAGTAGTTTTGCAGTGGAGTCTTTAGGGTTTTTTATGTACAATATCATGTCATCTGCAAATAGTGACAGTTTGACTTCTTCTTTACCAATTTGGATTCCTTGTATTTCCTTGTTTTGTCTGATTGCCGTGGCTAGGACCTCCAGTACCACGTTGAATAACAGTGGGGAGAGTGGGCATCCCTATCTTGTTCCCGATCTCAGAGGAAAACCTTTCAGCCTCTCGCTGTTCAGTATGATGTTAGCTGTGGGTTTGTCATATATGGCCTTTATTATGTTGAGGTACTTGCCCTCTATGCCCATTTTGTTGAGAGTTTTTATCATGAATGGATGTTGAATTTTGTCAAATGCTTTTTCAGCGTCTATGGAGATGATCATGTGGTTTTTGTCCTTATGTTTGTTGACGTGGTGGATGATGTTGATGGATTTTCAAATATTGTACCAGCCTTGCATCCCTGGGATGAATCCCACTTGGTCGTGGTGTATGATCCTCTTGATGTATTTTTGAATTCGGTTTGCTAATATTTTGTAACCTGCCTGAAAGTCTCCCTTCTTTACTTATAGGAAGCTTGCAGAACATGATCTCCCTCCATCCAGTGCTCTGCGGCTCCCCCAAAGGCTGGGGTGGTAGGGACTCAGTTCCCATGCCATGCAGATCTGAGCAGATGCTGGATGCCAGGTGATGACCCTGGCTTACGGAGTTAGCAGGGGTCATGCTCCATGCTGAGTAGCTGTTCAATGAACTTCCTTTATTATTCTATTCTGTCATTCTCTAACACTCCCACTTTAATAAATTCCTTCCTCACTCCGTCCTCTGACTTCCCTGTGTCACCGAACCGGACTCTCCCTAACACAGTCACGAGGGACAGGGACAGGGCTGTCTGCTCGGGGTCCTGATCATAAATCCATGGGCTGCAGGCCCCATGAGGTCACATCACTGTGACATCTGCAGCAGTGAGGGCTGCGCTGAGCCCCACACCCTCCTCTGCCCTGAGCACTTGGCATTTCCACTCCGACATCCAGGGGCCTGAGTCCTAACACTCAGGCACACCCATCCCAATGTCCCACCCAGATGCCTCCCTCTACCCACTTCAGGGGAGGCTCATCGCCAGCAGCATATCACACAGGCCACCCATGGGGGGCCCGCCTCCCCTCTCCCCTCATCCCTAGCCCCCACGGCAGCAGGGCTCCCCCAGTCTGAGGCTGAGGGTCTGGTCTGGGTCCGACCCCATTTCTCTATCCCTTCTGGCCCTGCTCCTCCCGCTGCATCTGTCACTTCATCACCCTGGACTCACCAGCTCAGTCCCTACCTGCTCCCCTGCTTTATGTTTTCCCTCACTGGCAGCCCAGGTTCTGCCATGCGAAAGCTGAGCTCCTCACCCTGGTCACCGCCCCTGCATCACGAAGCCCCTGGCACCGGCACCCAGCCCTTCTGGCCACTGCTCCCAGCGTCCTGGCCTCTCTGGCCGCTGGCTGGCCCTCACACCCAGCAGGCACCAGCCCAGGTCATGGGTGATCTGTGTCCTGTGCTCTCAAGCTGCAAAGCCTCCCCCGGGTGTCCTCACTGCTCAGGTGCCCCCACTCAGTGACCTCCCCTGACACCCCAGCCGACAGAGCCCTCTGCTCCCACGTCCACCTTCCTCTCCCAGGTTTGTGCTCGTGCAGAACCATCGCCCCTGCAGGTCTTCTATTAAATTTTCTTACATAATATCCCTTTTCCTCCTAAATGTCAGCATCAAAGCTTGGACTTTACTGGCAGTCTTTATTTCTGCCTCCAGCCCACGCGCACTTGCCATTACCAGCTTTGGGGGAAATCACTGACCTCCTGAGACTGTCGTTGCTCCTGTGTGCCTCCCCGTAGTGGCTCCCGGTGCCACCTGGTGGGTCCCTCCCACCGTGATCACTCCCAGTGTGCTCCCTGGGGGATAAGCAGGGGAACATCCTCTGACTGAGCTGCTACTCTGCAGCGGCTGGTTCCTCTGTGGGCAAGGTGGCCTTGGAGATGTCTCCCTGCTTTCCACTGAGGAGTGTTAGTGGGCAGGTGGAGCGTCCCAAAGGGTCCAGGCAGCTTTCTTTGGGACCAGCATTCCTAGTGTTCAGGGACACCATTTCCATGTAATTTATCAATATTCTTTTAATATTTACCCATTGTTACATTGCAATATCATATGAAATAATATAAAATCATCCCAACATACACATTTTAACTAAGCTCCACAGAGATCTATTAGCTCACTTATTGTTTAATAAACTCAGAGTTAGGCAAAACAAGTTGTTTTATGTATGAGTCCAGACAGTTGGAAATGTAATTCTAGAGAGAAGCACATTGCTATTGACTCATAAAAGTCTTTATTACTAAACTGCATATATTTTCAAGTTAACAATAAAACAGGGATGTAGGGAGTAAATGGTAAAACTTTTAACTATAAGACTGATATAAATGGTATTCATAAAACATTCTCTTAAGAAATGTAATGTGATGGGTATTCACTTTGAAAAGATTAGCCACTTCAACACGGCATTTCCTTAACTGCTAAGGAGACAGAATCCACATTTCCTGGGAATAAAAAGAAAGCCCTGTGTTCCTTGGCGTGTCCCAGGGAGTCCACTCTGCTTTGATTTGGAGCAACGGACCAGGGAGGAGCGTGTGCAGGATGTGAGGAGGGGGTCCAGCCCCTGGAGGGTCCTCTGCACCCACGGCCTCAGTGCC